GCCCGACCAAAAATCGCTTTTAAATGTGCTTTATAAATAAACCTTGATTTGATTTGATTTGATTTAAATTGTCTCCTTTGACTGATTATGTCAAATCATTTAATTTGAATTATTCTGAAAAATGCTTAAATATGCAAAGCTAAGTAAGGGATGAATGTTGCTCATAGCCCAGAAGTGTTTTGATGTACTTCACTTTACTTCACTACCTTTTTACCGTTTTAGGATTAGACAACAGTGATATCATGTGTTTCCATTTCAGCCTTTATTCCTCTTTTCACATGAACACCAGGTTATGATCTGCTTCTTTTTTTAAATGCAACATAATTAGTCTTATCCGTATCGGCTGTGAGCAGCAGGTAACGTTATCGGTTGAAGAAAATCCAAATGATATCTCCTTAATTAAAAGACATTGTTGTATAAGTTGACTTCTCCTTCCTGGCCTCCTCTGACCTCCTCTTGTTTTCTTCCTCTCCTCTCCTTCCTTCACACACTTACATGAAATGATGTGACATATACGCCACTTGGCTGTTCATCCAGTGTGCCCTACAGTTCCATAAGTGCACTCATCTTAGCCTGCGTGGCTAACAGGACTCAAACTCCCTGCTAGTTGTGTGTACAATGCATTGAACAAAGCAGGAGTCTCCATCTCCATCTCCTTCTCCCTCCATCTATTTCCCTCTCCTCTTTCCAACCATGTGTGTGTGTGTGTGTGTGTGTGTGTGTGTGTGTGTGTGTGTGTGTGTGTGTGTGTGTGTGTGTGTGTGTGTGTGTGTGTGTGTGTGGTGTGTGTGTGTGTGTGTGTGTGTGTGTGTGTGTGTGTGTGTGTGTGTGTGTGTGTGTGTGTGTGTGTGTGTGTGTGTGTGTGTGTGTGTGTGTGTGTGTGTGTGTGTGTGTGTGACAGTAGTCATGTCAGAGTAAGGCTGGCTGAAGCCCTTGCAGCAGTCTGCCTCTTTGATGTTGAGCCCTGCTGAATTAGGCCATCACCCAGCGGTGCTCTGCTGCCTGCCTGCACACACACAGCCTCACACACACACTTGCAAACAAAAACAAATGCATGCTGGTAGGATGCAGCATGCACGTGCAAAACAAAGCATACATGCTGCAAATCACACAGAAGTAGTGAGCGCACACATGCAGGTCTCAAAACGCCGCACTAAAACACTCCCCCCCTCACACAGTCTCCCTCTCACGCTCATTGAGAGTCACATTCATCTACCCTAAGTCCTCATTTCCTTCTCGACTTCTCTTTAATAAACATAAATTTGAATTCTTATGAGTGTTTCTCCTCCGAGGCCTCCATACTATAGTACATCAAAGAATGCGCACACACTCATGAACACTCATACACACCAGCGCGGAGAAAATGTAGGACATTCAGAGAGAATTTATTCACGAATACAGAATACAGGGAAAAATGTATTCCCTTTCAATCTGCTCCCTCCGCCGCGCTCACAATGTGGTCGTACGAATAGCGGCAAAGCGACTAAGGCAGGAAGCCTCCTGAATTACGCATAAAAACAGGCTGGTGCCCTAACATCTCATAAAATGAACATTAAAATGGAAATATATACTCTGTTCACAGAGAGAAATGCAATTCAGCTGCAAAAAGATGAGACTTTTGTATCCTGTGTTAAGCTCCCAAATCATATGCAGAAAAAATATTTTAACTGTTCTGTATCTTTACCACTTAGTGTAGTTTTTAGGCAGTGGCACGGTGCTGTTTTCATTTAAATAGCTCTAAAAAAAAAACACTGTATGCTTCCTGCTCTGCACCAAACAGCATCAAAACATAGTGAGCAACTAGCTGCAGAACATAATGGAGCATTCAGACGCTTAAACTTTCTTGTAAGCTGGTGGAGACCAAAAATAAGATTTATATTTGGATTTTTATTCATCAGGCGGATAGAAACACAACTTTATATGAATCCTAATATATCTCTGTGTGTCTACTAAAAGGGGCTCTATTATATTTGCTGTTTTCCCTTTCCTGCAGGGTTTTCTATAGGTTTTAGTGCATGTAAATGGTATGCAAAGGCTAAAATCCCTCCTGAAGGAGTTTCTCTCCCATATTAACTTCATATATACTGATTTTGTGTTACCAAGTAGTCAGAAAATCGATGAATGCTGCATTTTTTGTTACCTAAACCATAACATTAACGCTAAAGAGATTATCGTTCCCTAATTTTAATTACGAATACTGTAGGAGTTTAACCAATTCATTAAAAACACTCCTACAGTGACAGTTATGTAAAAATGGCATTTCTATGTGTGATTTTTGGAAGTAAGAAACATTTTTCGTATCAGAAAAATCTGTGAAATTCTTTTTCAGAGCTAATGGGCACACCAGGTTCACTCTGAACTCGTCTACTCTCCTGCATCATTAATGCAGAAATGCCCTTTTCAATTGTCATGTTCACAAAACTTTTTGCAGAAGTTATTGGCCCTGGATAAAAATACATGAAATGGGAAATAGTTTGAGACATTCAGCAGTTTCTATCTTGTTTCAATACTAACAGATAACGTGCACCTTTTGTTGCACATTGCTGATCCCATACCGTGTCTCAATGACTGAAATGTGGGATGTGGCAGTCGCTCAGTCTGTAGGGACTTGGCTTGGGAACTGAAGGGTCATCTGTTCAAATCCAGATTAGACCAAACATACGGAGCGTGGACTGGTAGCTGGAGAGGTGCCAGTTCAACTTCAAATGTCCTTTAGCAAGGCACCGAATACAACAACTGCTCGGACAACCTGGTCAATTATAAATGAATATAATATAATCCTTTATTGTCATTATACAGGTACAATGAGATGAGTACAGCTACTCCTTTTTTTAAGCTGCCATCAAAAATACAAACACCAACAAGAGACGTACAACATTCAGGAGGAGACAACGTACAAACATTCATACTTAAAGTTAAAAGTGCATGAATATATCGGTTTAAGTCAAATAAATATGTTTGAATGTGTGAAAATGCACGTGTTTGTGCATATCTGTATTTGAACTATTTGGTATAGGTCCTATGCATGTACGATAACAGATTGTAAAACTGAATTTCCCCGTGGGGATTAATAAATGGTCATATTATTTAGCACTATATTGTTAAAACACGCTTGTCTCTGTCTCTCTCTCTGGTGGCCAGGAACAGCCCTGTGGTCAAACTGGAGACCGGCCAAGGACCTTTCCATCAATTACTTGATTTTTTTTTGCCCTATCTATCTCTCCCTTCACTGTCTTTCTGCTCTTTTCTCCATCTCTCTTTCTCTGCCTTGCTCTCTCTGTTCGTCTCATTATTTCCACTGTTGTTGGCTGGCTAGAAGAACTCTTGAGAGCATTAATATAGGTCACCTAAAGAGTAAAAGCCCTTCTTCTAAATGTTGATATTTATCCCTCAAAAGAAGATAACAAACTGTTCTTTCATGTGTTTATTTACTTCAGGGTGACGCACCTTTACATTTCTATTTTTAAAGTGTTGGTGGATGAGAAAGTGAAGATAGCAGGTGGTACTGGCGGTTCACATTAGACAATAACAAGCCACATTTCACACACTCGTGGCAACACAAACGTAAAATGACACACACACACAGTCCCTGCCCTCCACGGCAGGGACTGTCATCGCTGCATATCAATTACACGGAGAAGTGAAGATCTATTTCGAATTCAATCAGTCAGCGCTGGTGTCACGTCGCTCGCTCTGCGTTTCCCCCGCCGCCTCGTTCCCACCGCTCAGCCATCATGGGGCTGGTGGACGCGGGGGTTGTGTGTGTGGGTGTGTGTGTGGTGTGTGGTTGTGTGTGTGTGGTGTGTGTGTGTGTGTGTGTGTGTGTGTGTGTGTGTGTGTGTGTGTGTGTGTGTGTGTGTGTGTGTGTGTGTGTGTGTGTGTGTGTGTGTGTGTGTGTGTGTGTGTGTGTGTGTGTGTGTGTGTGTGTGTGTGTGTGTGTGTGCGTGTGCGTGTGGCTGCATTCCAAATGACATACTTTTTAATTTGAATTTTTAGCAAGTACATTACATTATTATTACATCTCATTTCATTTAGCAGATGCTTTTATCCAAAGCGACTTACATTAAGTGCAATCTACCATGAAGATACAGGCTTAAAATAGTAGGGATCCTGTAAGTCCATTAGCTTCCAATAAGCCACACCGATCTTAGTGCTACTTCAATGGGTCAAACCTTTTTTTAAGAGGCCCTATTATTAATGTTGGGGTGATCGCTTTCCTGTAGTGTTGTTTAGGTTTTGGTGCATGTATCTTCTAAGGCTAAAATCCCAAAGCTCCCTCCATACACATGGGATCACATGATCTATAGCAAAATTGCTAGAATGCAGGTTATTAACAGATGATCAAATCCTGAGCCATAGTGCATCAAAGCATCCAAATATTAGCGGTTTCTCTACCATTATAAGACTCAGCCATTACACAGACATTGCTTACTTTTGTTCACAGTGCTCAAAAGTCTATTTTATTTATCGTTTTTGTTTGATTGTTTTATTTTTATTTTACCGTAGGCTGAATTGTCTTTCATTGATCTTTAGGAAGGTGCATTCTCATCATTTTAGGGTCATAAAATGGTCTTAAATTGACATTGATATCATCCATTTATGTACTGTACTGTATACGTCCCATATGTCGACTTTCCGTGTGTGTGAATTCTAGCGGTTGGCATTTAAAATGTCTCTGTCCTGGGAAACTTGCACATCTGAAGGCTTTATGAATATATTTATTAATTTAAGCAGAAACATTATGTAACGAGGTATGCGCAAATGGTTCTGCAGCCTCAGCTTATCATTGCACCCATTCTGCAGAAAGAGAATCTTATGTCTCTCTAGATACATTTAGTTTTAAGGACTCCGTAAAGCCTTCAGACTTTAAATTGTGAAACATTGTTTCCCCTTCTTGACAATTTTCTCAGTCTCTCACATTTACTCTGGCTGAGATTTACGGAAATCTACATTTTATGTGAACAACAATTAAAATGTATAATGTTCTGTCTCTTTCTCAGATCATAACCACTTGAACAACGCAGCCTTGTCTCCCCTGGGTCCCGCCATGGCCTTGTCTCACCCTCACAACAACCTGGGCATCGGCTTCAACAAGTACACCTCGCTCAAGGCCGTGGGTGAGTAGGATTACACACACACACACACACACACACACACACACACACACACACATACCAGGTATACATCACTTCAGGAGACATTACATTGACTTACATGCATTTCCTGGAGACTTATCCTAACCTTAACCATAACCAACACATGCCTAACCCTAACCCTTACCCTTAACCTTACCCTAACCCTAACCAAGTCTTCACCCTAAAATTAATGATTACCCTTATGGGGACCTCCATTATGTCCCCATAGGGGAGGCGAGTCCCCACACGTGACTGTGTAAACAGATTTACTGTAGGTCCCCACAAGTATAGTAATGCTAGGACACACACACACACACACACACACACACACACACACACACACACACACACACACACACACACACTCAAACTGACTACACACAACCACATGTACACAGTTGAATAGTTATAGGTGTTTTGACCTATTGTGAAGATAACACGTTGAATACAGAGCACAGGTTTAATGTACGGATGTAAGTCGGCCCAAATACTGTACATCATAAACAAACCTGAGTCAGGAGTAGTACACATGTGTCCCCATACTAATGTACACACTGAGTGAGAAAGTGGTGAAGGGAGAGCTTCACCAATTAGGATAATGATCTTTTTTCTGACTCTCATCAACCATGTTGACTCATTAATCCCGTTTGAGTGCTGATTTAAGACTTCCTCAATATTATATTAGAGCCATGAGACAGCCATGGTGTAAATATTGTGATTGTTGCTACATTCATGCAGGGTGAGAATAATCAGGAAAATTAGTTCTCGAGCGAGAAAATAAACATGAATAACGCTTCAACACACACTCAGGAAATCGGGGAGATTTATGTTGCACGACTTGTCAAGTAGATTCAATATTATGCAGACACATGTTGGAAGACGTGGTTATGGACACAGGATCATTCTGTGAGGGATAATATCTGATTTTACATCAAATGACTTGCCTTTTCCCAATACATCATGATGTTTATAGCCTATTTTTATATCCTTATCAACATATTAAAGGTGGGGTAGGTAAGTTTGAGAAACCGGCTCGAGATCGCTAGAATTTGAAAATACACAACCGGAGAAAATCTGCCACTTCCTTATAGAGCCCCTCCTCCAACACACACGAACGCGCACATGACCAATGAGGGCACGAGATAAGTTTAGGCCATCCAATCATTTTAGCCGGCCCGGCTAAAATGATTGGTCGTACTTTTTACAGTACTACGGCTTCCACAGATGACATTTTTTTATGGATTTTTTTTCAAAGCACTTCAGATATTCATTGCTATCGGGATGTTAAGAGCATTCCATGGAATATAACAAAAAGTGTATCTCGAGCCGGTTTCTCAAACTTACCTACCCCACCTTTAATAATGCTGTTAATACAAATTTGAAAATAAATAAATGTGCTTTCAGTTCATTCTCTTAGTATGTGTAAATAAATCACCATGTGGACAAAATTGTGTATATACTTTTATATTTGAAGTGCACACACAAGATGACTACATTTCTGAACCATTCCCTGGTAAGATCTTCAGGGGAGGGCGCAAAGAAACATCTGTTTGCTTTGTGCACTCTCTTGTTGACTGCATCCCGTCAGTTTCCTTCTGACTGTTAATTACCAAAATTGAGGATAATGGAATCGGGGCCAAACATTTATTTTGAAACTACAAGCAAGTGCCCCAAAAAACCGGATTCTATATGTCTGTCTGTCTGTCTGTCGGTCGATTTTCTTTGCTGTATTTGAGTACCTTGAACACTTACACAAAACAATCATTGATCAATAGGTGAGGCTTGACCAATCAGATCGACTCAATGTTTTCATTATCTGGTATTTACTGGACTTTGAACAGAAGAAAAGTCAGCTGAAGGCCGACAAATTTCAATCTCTTCGGTCATAATGTACTGTGAAAAGAATTGTCCGTAGGCGTAAATGGAAGTGTGTTAAAAATAGGCAGAATAGATGAGTCAGCACCCTCTTATTGGTGGAACTAACAACAAGATCATCCCCTTCATGTTAACCGGCAACAATGGAAACGCTGAATCAACTATTTACATCCTCAGTCAGGGACACCCATGTGCATTGTTCCATGCTGTTAGCTTCTAACTGAGTAAATAATCTGTTTTATAATCCTTTATGACGTTGGGGAATTCCTGTATTGAACAAAGGCAGCGTCGGGATCATTGTTCAAACTCTGCTGTCCGCTGTCTGTCATCGGCCTGAAGCTCAGCCTCTAAAAAGCTGACACTTATTGACAGCCTGCCTTTCAGTTTATAGTAATCCGCTGTGGAAAAAAAGGTGCAAGGATGGCATGAATTCACTGCTGGTGATGACACAACACACTCAGAAGTGCAATACAAAATAATATATAGATTCCAAATTGGGGAGTGGTAATTCAAAATGGTTTAAATGTAAAAAAAAACACACAATACTTAGCATGTGTGGGCGATGATTGACAGTAACTGGATATTAGTTTGAAGCGACAGGTCCAGCCCTCCAGCTCGCCCTTGGGCCTTTCTCACACACACACACACACACACACACACACACACACACACACACACACACACACACACACACACACACACAGAAACACACTCACACACTCAGAATATGCACACATCAACATACACATCATAAACATGTCCTTGCTACCCTACAATCACACAACCCTCTTCCTACTGCATAGGGGCACATAAGGGTCACAAGCGTAAACATGTACACACACACACACACACACACCATCTATCATCTGATCAGTGCAGACAGATAAGGACGTGGTGACGGTGATGATCAGCGACAGGTTGACATGTACTGTTCATTGACACAATATGCAGATAGAGACAGGATTGCAGAGCGTAGAAGTCGGACTAAGAACTAAAGAGCGTGAGTCATCTGAAGTTTCATCTAAAAGACAAAGCTGTAGAAGTTGGTCGAGCTTTCCGTTCTCACAAGGCATTCTTTTATGTAGTTTGTTATCATAAAGCTGCCAAATGTACTAAGATTCTTTCAAACAAGGGGTACTGGATATCTGCCAGTGCTAGATGAAAGTAGGATTCTGATTTCTTGACCGTTTTGTTTGCCCTTTTCTCATGAATGTGATATCTCAAGAACGCTTTGAGATATGTCTTTACATTTGGAACAAACGTCCATTTGAACTCTTCAAGAAGGAACCATTGGGTCCTCGTATAGCTTACGTAGTAGCAGCAGGAAAGAGTAATCAGATCTCATTGAGAAACGGAGGCAGATTGCAGCAGCAGAACCCCCCCCCCCCCCACACCGCTCTGTGATGACCGTGAGAAGTCAGACACATTTCACTGAAAACTACCTCGAAATATGAAATCGCTCTCACGTCTCACTGCAGTATTCATATCTTTCTCTGTTTGATGACACACAGACGGTGAACTGCAGCTCTCTGTTTGGTATTTACTAGTTTTGTCTCTCTAACACACACACACACACACACACACACACACACACACACACACACACACACACACACACACACACACACACACACACACACACACACACACACACACACACACACACACACACACACACACACACACATTTCTGATGTGTCATGGTATTTCTGCCATCAGGGACTCTGATCTTCTGGCACTTATTGATGCACCATCAGCTTACACAGCACACACACATCCAGTGTTTCCACGCATTAGTCAACATGGATACTCTGTGACACACCTACTTTCATATGCAACATAGACGTTGGTTCACTATTAGATTCTACATAATGACAATAGCAGGAAAACTAAACCTAAAACCTTCTGAGTGGAGACAGGGCAGACAGTGTTTTTGCGCTAAAGTAAGCAATGCTACACCTTCTGCATAACTTTGTGCTAATAAAAATAAGTTATATTATTATATAGTATTCATAGTTTTGATTCTTACAGTTTCATTTGATTTACGAAGCATTTTTATTTACATTTTAGTTTGTTGAAGAACCTTTTTTTGTACGATTATTTGTACTTCCTGTATCCTCTTCTGCTCTCACTAGGATGGAAACGTACATAGTCATTTTGACAATGTTAGGTGGCTTCAAAAAAAGTGTTGCCTCTTCTGGCTCTTGGTTGTTTAGGCATGCTGTATACACTCTTAAGTGGAAGAGTGCAGACTATGCTTAGGGGTAAAATAAGCACTTAAAAATGTAGTCATAATATTATAAGGGGGGAACCCAAACAGCCGACTATATAATGGCATTTTAGATAATCAGTAATGAGAATATAATCAAATCAAATCAAACTTTATTTGTATAGCCTAATATCACAAAACACATTTGTCTCAGTGGGATTTACAGATTAAAAACAAACAACAACATTGAATATGATGGAGTTACAGCAAAATGAGAAGACAAGATAGTGTGTGGAATAATGACACAACACAAATAATTGAATATAAAAAATGCAATCACTTTCCTGTAAGGCAGTTTTTAAAACCAGGAACACCTATACAGACCAACGACAGTAAGGCATAGACTGGGTGCATTTCTGATGGTGCATGAGATATCTTGGTTTCTCCCATTAAATCATGAAATATAGGCCTAGCCTTGTTTGGTTCAAATATCAGCCTAATTGTAATACTGTTAATACAAATGAACTAAGGCTCAGTAACCATGCTCTGGCCCTCATCATATCTCCATCGCTCCATTTCAGTACTTCCAACAGCGCCCTACCTACACTTACTTAGTGTGCAGTTTGTTCTGTACTACTATGACTCCTTCCTGCGTCCTCTTCTGCTCTCACAAGGATGGAAACGTTACTATACACACAGTCCTTTCATTTCTTCACACATGCTTATCAGTTCTCTCGCTGGGTAGTAGACCAGGCGCCGGGGCCAGAGATCCTGGCTGTGAGGACAAAGTCACGGCTAGGACACTCCACAGTTTGGAGGTGAAAGCTGAACCTTTGCCAGCTCAGACTGCAGGTGTCCGGACCAGGCTGCTTAAAATCTTTATAAACACATTGGGATT